AGCAGCAGCTCTCCATGAGCGAAACACTTGCAGCCTCATAAGCTTTCAAAGTCGCCTCCCAGGTTACTGATCTCGAATTGGCATTGCAATCCTTTGTTCTACGCATCCGAGCCAGAGGAAAGTCTGGAGGTCCATCACAACACGTAGGCCTCCTACTGCTCGCTTCAATCGACGCATTTTGTGGGCTTATAAAGGCAGGAGCAGTCGAACATACCTTCAGTGAAAGGCGATTTTTAAGCTTCAAACGCTGCGAAATGCTACGACAGAAATGCTGTGGAGAGAGCATTAACCACCGCTCACATGCATTTAACAGAGAATGTTTCAAAACGATCCCAGAAGCGTAAGGACTTTTCCGACAACCTAATACAACCTCACCCCCAATTCGAGCGAGTGGACAGTTGACTCTGACCCTTTACCCCCTCCTCAGCAGTGTGCTGACATGTTGAAAGTCATGGCATGTATGATAGCCGTGAGCATAACATGAAAGCAAACAGGGCTATGCAAACTGTAGGCGAAACCAGATTTTATTGTATTTCGGTAGTAGTTGGTAGCTCTCTTACTTCATATATTTATGTCTCTTATTTCCACGAACTATCACCCCTGGTGCTAGCTTATCACCTTGTGGATCAATGAGGAGTTGTAGGCGAACTTCTCTGAGTCATTAAACTGATAACAAGATGTGGGTAAGTGGGTAAAAATGGTTGGTGCTCCGTGAACATTGTACGAGCTCCGATCAAAACTGGTAGGTGTTGAAACGAGCGACTTTGAACAGGGATTTAACAGAGAGCACGAGAGGGATTAGAGACAAAGTGACAAGGAGAGAGGCGTACGCAATCTTAACATATTTGGCCTCCTTTAGCATCTAGGCGCGTCCGCAGAAGTTTGAAGCGCATCAACAAGATGTTGGAGAACGCGATTCCTAAGGCCTTGAAAGATCAGTTGATGTAGACGAGTTTCTTCCTGGGGTAAAGTAGAACTATCAGCAAAGATACCCTTTAAATTCAGCAGCCAGGGGGGTCTGCACTATAAACTTCACAACACAAGCGACGACGGCCTCCACAACTGATAGTTAGCAAATTACAGTGAGAGCTGATAGCTTTGAATAATCAGATTGGTCCCTCGTCAATTGCCGGGACCTTCCTTTCCTGGCGCATGCAGCAAAAAGGTGTTCAAGCAGTAGAGGGAATCACCATAGCAAAGTCGTCACGGTAGATTTTCCGCCACTCCATCCTCCCTTCCTCCCTCCACAGCCCTCCAGCTGCCATCGCAGCTCCATGCCGTAGGAGTGCTATCACAGTTATCCATTTGGAACATTTATAGCTCAAGTCCTGCGAGCTACTCAGATTCTGTTAGCGGTTGTTTATTCCATTAGCTGCCTTATCACCGACTTCATTTTGCGGACAAACATACATACAAACCGACAGACCAAGTTAGCGGTTTATAAAATACCAGTTAGCTCCGCACGCAACCGCGCGCATGAATCGAAGGCTTCGGTGAAACTGTACAGTCGGTGGAGCGTCAGGTTCCACCGGTAGGAAATAAGTGGCTTTCAGAAATGCGTTAGCTCACTGTCCGCTTGATACGCGCGATAGAGCACGGAGCTAAAGTGATGCCTGTAAACAACAACCATGCATCGAATGTCAGAATAATTTGGCGGTCGTTACAAAAAACAACCACCATACATTTTTAGAAAGTCGGGGAGTGTAGCGGCAGAAAAGTTGGAAAGTTTGGAAAAAGGACGACAGCGCAAATGAAATGATACTGAAATGAGTTGCGTTGTCTCAAATCTGCTTTCGAGTGACCTTCAAGCTCTTACGCTATCGTTGTTATCACTCCTTATCATTCGTTACTCTTTCTGACCCCCACCAAATATGTTCCCGTCCCACCTCTACATCACTTATCAAAACCAACGCCTCTCTGCTGCTGGGACACCCACAGTAAATTTCGTGAAATTTGCGTTCTAGCGCCTCTTATCAGCTCTTATCAGTCGTTATCACTTTCTGACCCCCACCAAATATGTTCCCGTCCCACCTCTATATCACTTATCAAAACCAACGCCTCTCTGCTGCGAGTAAGCAAACCAGCCCTTTTGGCGTTTCGGCTGGGACCGTATGCTGAATGTTGGGGAGGGGATGGGGTCCCCAACGGTCGACGGTTTACTTCAACTCGGTTGGTACGATAGGAGAGTACTGACGCAAGTGGTGCAGCTGGTCCAGCAGCTCCGCCAGAAGGGCTGGTTTGCTCACCCCAGGACTAAGCCTTGGAGAGGGGACGGACCCGTCCTCTCTTTAAGGCTTAGTTCTGAGGTAAGCACCAAATTGTGGCGGTTCTAAGGACCGAGTTGAAGTGGTCCGTCCACCGTCGGGGACTCCATCCCCTCCCCAACATTCAGCATACGGTCCCAGCCGAAGCGCCAAAAGGGCTGGTTTGCTTACGTCCTCTGCTGCTGAGACACCCACAGTAAATTTCGTGAAATTTGCGTTCTGGCGCTCTTCTTATCAGGCGTTATCACTTTCTGACCCCCACCAAATATGTTTTTATTGGTTTTTTTTTTCCCTACTTAATTAATTTCGTGACAGATAAACGGACGCACACACAAACCTACACACACACACAGAGACAGACATACTTAGCGAATCACATGTAGTGGGGAAAAGGATATTGTAATCAGTAAAAATCCTTCTATTTTATAAAGCGCTAACTTTGTGTGTCGGTTTGTATGTCTGTATGTGTGTGTATGTATGTATGTCCGTCCGCAAAATGAAGTGAGTGAGAAGGAAGCTCATGGGATAAACAAACCGCTAACAGAATCATGTAGCTCACAGGACTTTAGCTATTAGTGTTTTGCAATGGCATGATTGTGATAGCATCCCCAACGGCTATATAAACACGCACTTAGCACACTTTCGGTCATTCGACAAGGTGATGCTGTGGTAGCCGGCGAGCAGAGGGGAACGAGGGGAGAGTAAGGAGAGGAGGGAGAAGGGAAAGCTTACGCAAGGTAGGGAGGTTCCGGCGCTTGCCGGGGGACCAATCTGGTCATAGAATGCAACAGCAACCGGCTCAACTTTTGGTTTGCAGAAAACTGTTGCATTTTGTGGGTTCCGTCGTCACGTGGGTTGTGAAGTCTGCAGTGGATCATCATGATAAAGAATAAAAGATGTGCTGTACTTGCGAGAAGCGGAAATTGCGAAAGAAGAAGAACTGCGCAAAGACGATGAAGCCCTTTTCAACCGCGGATGGCTTCAGCCCCCGTTGCTCGTCTAATGACGGTCTGTATGGCGAGGTGTTTGCTACTTCCCGTCCAGTTGCTCGCTTGCTACACTCTCTTTTCGTCGCCCAGTGCCTCTTCATCGAAGCACGTTCCAACTCGCAAGAGGAGGCCTCGATCTTATGACTGCAGCGGATTATTTCTTTTTTCGCTCATTATTAGCACCTAATTCGCTGCAGAATAGGGGCTCCCGTAGTTTTTCTGCAGTCGTTTTGGAAATGCCCAATGACTGTATATCTCGGTGAATAGGACTCATCGGTGCTGGCCGCGAGTGGTTAGCCGCTCAGTGGGTGTGCCGCTACGATAGCGCCGCGGAGAGGGCCATTCTAGGTCGCCAGACTCATATCCTTTGCTACGAATTGCGTGCCGATCTGTAATCTTAGGGGGGCCGCCAGTCTTTCAATCAGGTGAGTTTCCCGTTCTGCTACCTTCAACCTTCTCCTAGAACCTTCCTTCAAAGCATCGACCAACAAGGAAAGCAAGTCAATGTGTTATGCCTGTTTGTGTTCGGCTGTATCACCGACGTGATGCAGCACACCTATCCAATGTTTTCGGTAGAACAAAGTGAGCCTCATTCATCAGAGTCAACTTCGGTGGAAAGGTGCCAATGGAGGAGGATAACCTAGAGGCCGAACAACAGCGAAAGAAGTGGCTTCGGCACTTGTTAGCCAAAAATCCGGACAGGTCGATTGTGAGTGATTCAGTTAGCGTGCTATGCTTCCTGACTGCATTACAATTTCATTTGGCGTGAGAGGAATGGTCCATAGTGACTGAATCAACTTGGACTCTTAGAAGCTTATTTCAGTCGCCAGATGTACAAATCGCTGTCATCCGTGCCTTAATTATCGAATGTCAAAAGCGAGGAGTGGAGCAAGTACTCAAACGCTCTCGAAAACCACTTCGATGCTGGAAATACATCGCATGGGCCGTTGCCTTTCTCAGGCTTCTCTGGTATCACACTTTCATACAAAACTAAATTCTTCCAAATGCCGCCAGGGTTCCCTTCTCCCACCTATGCACACCGCGTACATATCTCACAGGTACTGACTACCGGATGTGAAGATACTTCTTATCCTTGTAGCTACGAGGAAATTGGCGTCCCACTTAATTGTAATCGAAATTATCACGGTGAGATCAAAGATGCGTCAATACGTGCCGATATAATATACCTGATTAGCTTTGCACATGAAGCGTTCATAGTTGGCTATCGTACGTGTGATTAGACGATGATTCAAAAAGAAAAAATACGGCGAGAAGAAGGGGAGTAGGCGACAAGGAAAGGATATGTATTGAATTGTTGCTCCGCCCATTGAGTGTTCGCCTAATCGCCTAATCGCCCTTGCGACCGCTAACTCTGGATGCTTCATGGGAAGCTTTGTCGTTTTTCGACCTTGAATTCGAATGTATGCTTCTCGAATCATACGTAACATTCTCAATCGGAATGAAAACCGTTAGAGTCTTCAAGGACCTGCCAATATGAAACGCGCTCAACCGGCCCGACTAAACGGAATGCTGAAACTGTGGCAAAGATTCTTCCATCACCATGTTGGGTTTTGAAACATTTCTCTTAACCCTTTGACGACAATGCGGATTTGCACGTAGCGTGCTCGTGGGACCACGCCTCTTTTTGGCGCGCCCAACTCTCGCACAAAATGGGGCAAAATTGTCCCTAAAAGCAGTTTTTCTATCAAAATTTTGACTATGACAATAAACAAAATATGACTGCAGTCTTAAGCTTTATGATCATGTATTGTTGGAATTAGAAGTGGAAGTTTGGAAAGAAATCTCGGATTTCAAAGGGATGGTGTTTAAAATGTACAGTAGAATTTTCGATACAGTTCAAACTCCTCCTTGTGTCTTAAGAATATGAAAAGTCGTAGAGGTCCTGATCTGTAATTCTTTCGTCGAGCGAAGTGCCATGTTCCAAAACTTCATATAAATTAGCTAGGAACAAACATTTCTGCTAAACATAGGCGTAACGGAGCTTGCTTATAATTACTGATAGGTTGAAAATGTTTTAAATGGGTAAAGAAGAAAATTTAGGGTGGCACCCACCACTGGGTGCCATTGTCGCTAAAGGGTTAAAAGGAGCCGGAAGTCCTCGATAAAGTGGCCCAGTGGTAAGGGGTCCACGGAGCGTAATGTTCGCAGCATCGTTCCGTAGCCCAGCTGCTTCAACTTTTGCAGGGTTGCTTGTACGATGTGCGCTCAAGGCACCTCTCAAGGATGTGTCAGTCGTTTCATGGAGGTGAATACTGGGCACCTATTTAGAATTTCAAGTGAAATTTGAAATATTGTTAAGAATCCTTACCCGTGGTAGGTACCCCCATCTGGTGCAGGAAAGCTAGGGCACCCTTTACAGCATGAAAGTCACCGTAAGCTTCTTTCAGTGCAATTTCAGTTTGATGAATTTTGTTGAACTCGGTCGTGGTCGGTCTATTCAGCAAGGCTTCGTAGACTGTTACAAAAATCCGGTCTACATCGCATCTCACACGCCAGTAGAGAAGCGGGTCACCTTCGTTACATACAACATGCTCGGCATGGAGGAGGGGGTGGGGCAATTCTTCAAATCGGTGATTTGTCGCGGCACGCTCTTACCACTTTTTGGACTTTTCAGTTATTACCATACAACTGCAACCACAAATCACATCCAGTTCAGGGGGAATTTTCTCAATAGTCTTGTAAGCGTGCTTCAGTTAGAACTTTTGGCTATGTGGTGGTAACTTCCGATTTCCGGTCACGGGAGACGGGCGTTTGTCCTCCTGGGGCCTCCGCCGCGCCGTCGCACGCGGCGATTCCACGGCGAAGGCGATGTGACGGTTCGCTCCGCCCATCTGTGGCATTTTGCCAAGTTATCGGGCTGTCGATCGATAGACTGCTATATTTGCTGGGCTGATATTGTTTTACTGACGGATTGAAGGTGAGTTTGCTCATTCAAAACTGATTGGGATTGCTTTATATAGGTTGCATTAGTTGTCTGTAGTTATCGAATCATTTTTTTAGTCCTATGTACTCACAATGCCAATAGAGGATTGATTAGTGGTTGGAATTATATGGTTCTAGCCCTCTTCAACCCTATTTTGGCTGTTTGAGTGACCTGTTTGTTAATTTGACTGACCCGTTCTTCCCAATGGCAGCGAACGAGAGTAGATCATGAAATACGGGCGGTATACCTACACACATACGTCTAATCCTTAGCGCAGTCTTTTTCACTCCTACAGTCTTACAACACAAAATATCGTAACAATCATGACACAGAGCATTTTTGTCGAACAACTACGAACTTTTGTATGAACACTGAGAAAACGATTCACTAGTACAGTGGCTAAAAAAACGGCACGGCTACGGCAAAAAAGAAACCAAACCACCAATCCAATACTTTAATTATAACAACGATCAGCCCACAATTATAACGGCGGAAGGGTTCAACTCACTGACTCCTCAAATGTGTATGCCTATTGAAAAAAGATACACCAACTAAATATTAACAAATTAAAATACAGCAGAAGTTTCCGTCGAGACTAGGAAATACCAAGAACTTTGAAATCTTCTGCACATTCGAAATTTCGTTGAGCTCCCTTAACAATTTCCTTTGCTTCAACAGTCTGCAGTATGCTTTCCTCCACTTTTTTTCAAAAATCTAGTAACACATAACAAAAAAGTGATTCTTGATAATTAAGGCTAAAGCGTGCGTTGCAGATTCTTGACAACATGACCGGAATTTGCAAAACGAGTATGTAATCGAACATAAAAGCGGTTGCAAAATATAGTTAGGATAATACCGTAGCTATTCAATCTATAAAGTCAAAAATTCGGAACAAATGCGACCAGAGAGATAAAAAAACTAAACCCATTCGAGTTTAAATTGTAGGGCAGATTTATTATCGCCTCTGAAATGGCTCATTGAGCAAAAGAGAGCAGATGAGTTCGAAAAGAATAACGACAACAACGCATATGAACTCACTGTCTTGTCACTCGACACCCAAATTAAAGGGCTGCAACAGTGGACAATAGCTTGGACCAATAAAAACCTCCACATCGCAGAATCGCCGCACACGCGGCGAGCCCGATCGCCGCGTGCGGCGGCAGCCTGACCCCAGGAGGACAAACGCCACACACCCCCGGTCACCACCCCATCATCTTGAAGGGTCCCGCATTCATTTCAAGAGCTTCTCGAACAATCGCTCCGGACCATGGTTATGCAAAGAAGAGCAAACTGCACCTTGAATTATGTTGGCTTGATTCCGTTCCTTTCAAGCCTGAGCTAGAAAAAGGAATCATCTAAAACTGCTCATCAAGTATGCTGTATTCAGGGTTTTGGAAAGTTCTAGGAAAAAGCATGAGAACAGTGGCGTTTTAACGGTCAGATGATTAAGAAAAGCCTTCCGACGCGATGTTTAGAGCATGGCATTTTGCTTGAGTTTAAAGGAGGATTCCACGATAAGAACGAAGGTCGAAGAAGGGAAAAATTGCATAGTGGGGAGACAGGCGGACCTCCTGAGGGTGCGACTGACACGCAATTGGCAGCGAAAGATTTGACCTCGGCGATCTAGCATGGCTCACTCTTGGCGCGGTTGGCGGGGTACGCCCACCGACTATCTAATCACTCGCCGCAGGTCTATACGTGGCGAGTGATTAGATAGCAGAGAGAGCGTAGTGTTGAAGAGGGCACAGCGATGAGAGTCGCATCAATGCTCAAATCAACGGGCAAGGAAGGGGTCCCATTTCTCGGGTTCTGGGCCGTTTCTCATGGTTTTTCCTTCTTTCGTGTACCACTCACCATCCCTAACTTAATTTGAAATGGGTTGCTTTTTCATCGTAAATTCGTCCTTTAAACACCAATTGTGAGAGCACGGCATTCGGAAGGTCAACTGTCACTTTGTGCCACATTCAAGATTCAAGAACCTCTACCTTGCAGAACGTCCCGTGAGCCCTCTCCCAACAGTTGATCTTGTCAATAGCAGACTCCAACTTCTCTCTTCGTAGAACCTCGGCATTGTTGTAATTATAATGTTACCAGTTTAGCTGCGCCCGCTACCGCGCGCAGTGATAGAACTGACATCGATGAAGCTTTAGGATACATACAGTCCAACACACCAAGTTAGCGGTTTATATAATAGAAGAATAGAGCGATGAATGAAACGAAATGGGTGTACTTACCGAGGAAAGGAGCTATCCCAATTATTAGGATGGCCATGACGAAACTCAGCGCGTAAGAGAAAGTGATCGGCGCCGACCTTTGTATTTCAAAGACGATAATCAGAAGAATTTCCATGACGATAAACACAATTATCAAACATATGCAGAGCATGACTCCCTGGTGAACCTGAACGAAGTCCAAGTGGTTCCGGATGTCAACTTCTTCATCACTTTATTCGTGCCAGCTTTTTGAAGCACTGAATCGTATTCGACAGAACTCTACTCACCATTTTTATTAGAAGGCTGTCTGTGACCGCTCCAATAGCAACGCTATGGCCGTACTTTACTTTGAATATTTTGCTCAATACCATAATTGCGCTGTAATGATGCTTACAATATTGATATGTGGATTTATGTATTGAATTTCAGGCTAATCAGGGAAATCAAGGTGCGGGTCAAAAGAAAGATTGCACGGTGCCTTTAGGAAACTGTAATCACGCGTTCCACTTTCATTACATTTCTCTTTGGCTGAAAACTCGTCAGCTATGCCCTCTGAATAACAGAGAATGGGAGTTCCAGAAATATGGTCACTAACTATTGTGGACA